TAAGCCTAGCCTTAAAAGTAGACAGGGTGTCTGCCTCACGGACTAAAACTGGTAGTTGGTTATTTCTCATATAATCTATACTTTGGTTTCATCAGAGGATGAATATTCATGTTCCAATAGTAATACAGATTGTAAAATGATCTGAAAATGTTGCTGTTTTTATCTAGAAACTCCACAGGAGCTAAGAACAATAATACTACCGGGATATTGCTGACGGACCCACATGGATGGAAGATGAGAGATTTGCTCTGTGTGAAACTCAAATATAATCTAGAAATAAGCTGATGATGCCCGAGAAAAAGATGAATCTGCTTGGAAAGTCACAAATAAACGTAGCAATAACCGTTCCACAAAACAACACTTCCTGCAGCAACACGCTTCTCTGTTAATGAGACATTAAATCTGCATAATTACTGATAACGCCATATAAGGCGACAAGCTCAGCCAATAGAATGTCATTTAGAATTGCAGAGCTACAGAACATAGAATGATGCCGCCTGATAAAATGGACAGAGGACTGTGGTGATTCAGTCGTGAAGTTTGTGAAGCGGAGAACCTGGAGCCTGCAGGCGCCTTCAGGAACCAGATCTGCTATCAGCTCGGTGTGTTTCAGTATCAGAGGCAGAAATAATCCACCCAGCTGATTATTTACTGGGTCAGATGGTTTTTACTGCTGCTGTTTTATGGTTGGAAGATAATTCAGAAAAGATCTGGTGGAAAAACCTCAAGCAGGTGTTTTATTTACTTCCAGGTGATCTCATCTCAAAGACTTGGTTGGTTGGTAGTCTGTGTTTCAGCTTCAGCTTTCTCTACTTTATTCATCAGAATATCTTCTCCAAGCAGGAAACCCTGAGGTCCTGCTGGTCCACCTGAGAAGAAGAACCGATCTGAGCTGAACTTCTTATCAGTCCCATGAAATATTGTTTATCATTAACCCTTTATAGGGCCCTCAGTGAATCCAGGCAGATACCTTATTACCTTTGGAACATTAAAAATATATGGATATTTTGATGCTAAAAATTAATGTCATTGTAAAAGAAGAAACGCCATCTTGCCCGAATATATTAAGAAAAATAACTAAAGTGCTTCTAGAAGAAATGAATGAAAAACACTCAGAGCGAAATAAACACATTTATTTGGTCCAATAACCTTAGAGGCATTAATGCTGATGACTGACAGTTTATATGATTATTAACGAGGCTTATTAACTTTTTACTTTTTAACTTCTTCCTGTGTTTGATTTTTACATTTTTTCTTGACTTGTTAACCTTTTACAAGTGATCAAAAATTATAACTTGCCCTGAGTTAAGGGAAAATGAGGTCAGGATGTCAGGAAGGAAAGAGAACAAAATAGAACAGAGAGGAAAGATGGAAGACAGAGAAGAATGGAGGAGAAGTGATGATGAACAGCTGAGGTAGAAGGAGAGGAGAGAACTGAGGGAGGAGAACTAATGAACACCAACGCAGCTCAGAATCAGAATCAGAATCAGAAATACTTTAATAATCCCAGAGGGAAATTACTTTTGTTACACGCTCTAGTTACAGTTTTACATGATATATACACACATCCAACTATACAATA